TGTTTTGAACCAATGAAAAGCTATGCAGTTATCTTGTTCTTCCACTAACACTGAGAATACAGTCGTTAACATTTGAAGTGTTGCTTTGGGCCGAGAAGCTTCTCAATGCACATTCGTTACATTGAACCATATCATATAAAGGTGCGACGGTGGCAATATGTTAACTACCTAGCCCGGAATCCAGGAGGTCGTGGGTTCAATCACGACCCTGACGCCTGCATATTTGGAGTGAGCACGTTCTTCCTGTGGTTGCGTGGATTGTCTCCAGGTCCTCCGGTTTTTCCCACCACATTTAGAAATACGCGCTTAGAGTATTTGGCTGCCTTAAATTTCCACATGATATGCCACTTCTCTGAGCTATCATTTGTGGCCAGGTCATCTCTGAAAAAGAGCTAGATAGCTCAGTGGGCCTTATCTGGTAAAATAAATAACATGTTCTAGTTTTGAAAATATAAAACCATCCAACACAAAAACAGGTTAATAAAAAATAGAGCAGAAATGGGAATTTTAAAATTTTAATTAACAAATGCACGGACAAGAAATGTTAAGTGAAATTATTAAAATCTGTATTTATGAGCAGACATGAGTAAATATTTCATGCTGAATATTTTTACAGAAATGTTCATTTTGATGCCTTATTCATCCATACTTTGGAATTCTATTTTAACCAAAATAACATGAAATAATTAAGTTAACAAATGCATCTACATCAATATTCTATATATATAAACAACTTTGCCATTTTTTATTTAAAGCTTTCGTGACTGCAGGGATTCATATTCTTGGTTCTTTCGGCAAAGTCACATAGAAGGGAAACAATAAAATAATAAAAAATATAAACAATAAAATTATCACGACGTTTCGACTGCAACACAAGCAATCATCATCAGGTGTGAAAACCACAGCAAGAAAATGTTTTGCTGTGGTTTTCACACCTAATGCTTGCTTGTGTTGCAGTCGAAATGTCGTGAGAATTTGATTGTTTTATACTTTTATTATTTTATTGTTTCCCTTCTACGTGACTTTACCGAAAGAACCAAGAATATGAACTTTGTCATTATTAATGTGAATCTCCATGCTGCTTATTGATTGGTCAACAGTGATTAATGCAGCATTCATAACGACTGGTTCTTACTCTTTGGTTCTTTCGGTAAAGTCATGTAGTTAGAAAAAAAAAATATATAGTTTTATTTTATTTATAAACATTAAAATATAATTTTATTTTATTTCTACCTACGTGACTTTACCAAAAGAACCAAAGAGTATAGATTCCTGCAGTCACAAAAGCTTCAAATCAAGATTGCCTGGTTCTTATTTAAGAAACTGATGCACATCAGCATGTTGTGTGCCTTAATTTAACATGAAAATAATTGAGTTACACGATAACTCGTTATTGGAAAAAGAAAATTATCCATTTAAAAGTATAGTTAAAAAAATAAATTCATAACAATATAAATGCATTAAACTAAAAGCTAGCATGGGAAACTAAATACCTTGCAACACCATGGCTCCGTAAACATGTTCTCGGTGGCAATTTATTGGAAATGGATAAACCCATCCAAACAGATGGTGGTACAGCAGATGACGATGCAAGATATGTACTCGCCGACTGGCCGATCTGAAAGGAATTAACTTACCCCTTTAAGAACAAAATGACGGAAGCTTTTTATATTCTCAGTTCTTTCGGTAAAGTCACGTTGAAGGGAAGCGATTAAATATATTTATTATTATTTTATTGTTTTTCTTCAAAATATATATTATTATTTTATTGTTTCCCTTCAACGTGACTTTACCGAAAGAACCAAGAATATGAATCACTGCAGTCACGAAAGCTTTAAATCAAAATTTGACGAAAGCTTTTGTTTATGGTGGCGAAGGCTTTGGTGGTGATGGTATTTGTGCATAGGTATGTTTAGGCAAATATTTATTTCGAACTTTTTCAAGTGGGCAATTTTACGCACGTTCATGTAGAGGCATCACGAAAAAAAATTGATGTAAATTGAAATTGTAACGAAATTTTTGTTCCTCGGTAGTAAGTGATATTTCGTAATTTATTATGCCAAAAAGTATAGAAAATGGCTTTTATTCCCCACAAACTTTGCTTTTGTGACCAGGACAGTGATATTTTGAAATTTACCTATTTTCAATGAGAAAACGGGCGAATTTGTGTCTTTTCGTTTACATAAAATCAGAAAAAACATGAATAAAAATTTACATTTATTTGTACTAAAGTAATACAAAAATTATGACAAAAGATTTAGAAGTAAGTCGTTTTTAGAGATTTACGATAATACCGTAAATAACTTTCACGAATCAGCCCCCAAATGTAGTCTCCCATCATGTTATCGTTATACTGTCCTTGGTAGCGGCATTCAAAGTCTAGTATATCCTGGTGGAAGCACTCGCCTTGCTCCTCCGAGTACACTCCCATGTTCTCCTTGAATTTATCAAGATGAGCATCAAGGATATGGACTTTGAAGGACATCCTACAGCCCATTGTGCCATAGTTCTTCACCAGAGTCTCAACCAGCTCCACATAGTTTTCGACCTTGTGATTTCCCAGAAAGCCACAAACCACTGCGACAAAGCTGTCCCAAGCTGCTTTCTCCTTACTAGTGAGCTTCTTGGGGAATTCATTGCACTCCAGGATCTTCTTTATCTGTGGTCCGACGAAGACACCGACTTTGACTTTTGCCTCAGCTTAGGGAAAAAGTCTTGAAGGCACTTGAAGGATGCCGACTCCTTATCTACGGCTCTGACAAAATCTTTCATAAGGCCCAATTTGATGTGCAGTGGTGGCATCGGCACCTTCCGGGGGTCCACCAGTGGCTCCCACTTGACGTTGTTCCTCCCCACAGAGAACTCGGTCCGCTGTGGCCAGTCCCGACTGTGGTAGTGCGCCTTGGTGTCTAAATATTTTGTAGTCATTTTTGTATTACTTTAGTATAAATACATGTTCATTTTGACTCACGTTGTTACTTTCTGACTTTATGTGAATGAAAAGAAAGCGTGGTTACCACATCTACGCCTCTTTTTAAGGAACGAAACAGTTAAGACTTCACAAATCTAGCTGTCGCCTGATGAAGTTAGTTGTAATTACTGGCCACACGTCGTACTCAGATTGTAAATGTTGTGGCCTGGCTCTCCAACACACAGGTGTGCTGTACTAGTGACGAATTGGCCACGTTCTGTTTATGTGACAACACTTACTGGTTGGCTGTGTCGGGTAGTGGCGGGTTTTAATGACACATTTCTATATTTACACGATCTAGCCCAAAAAAAAAACCTCTCGTATGGATTTCTATTTTTATTTTACATTATTCTGATTCAATTAAACGATGCTAGGATATTACATTGAACTTGCCCAGTCTCAAAAGAATGATATGTATTTTGATAACGTCTATAAAAATTCCTCATGAGAAACGTGTTCCTTTTGAGGTCCATTAATATTTTTGTACATATACATTTTTAATCGAGAACCATTTTCCATTAAAAAAAAACACACTTGAAATGTGAAAAAGATGCAGCCGTTGCTAATTATTGTTGAATCAATTTTCAAAAGTAAATAAATATATACATGTACAACCCTTTGTCAAGCCACTGCTGGATGAAGACCTCATAGCCATGTTGATCATGGGGGTTGTTTGACCATACTTCACCACACTGGTCAATGTGGGTTGGTGAGAAAAGGGGCCCAGTTATCAGATATCAGATGTGAGCCGTGGCAAGGAATTAAGTTAGGTCGCCAGCTTCACAGTGCAGTGCACTAACCACTGCCCCACCACTCCCCACGAAGTAGAAGCTGGATACAAGCAACACCCCTTGTGAGGGAGGCCAGTGTGCTTATATCCAAAGTAGTGTGCTTGTATCAGAAGTTGGCATTGGTTTACATGCTCAGAAGCATTTTCTAAGGATGTGTTGCTTGTATCGATACTATGTTCAACGACAATTACATATAATCATGGGTGATGGATGATGTTATCAATTATGAAAAACAAACATACTCCATGAGAATTTGCCACATAAGCCCTGCCCTATAACATTGATTGAAAACATAATGGGTGGGTGGTATAATCATGCCAGGTATGTTCATATCTTGTCACAAACCTTACTCTGTCTACGAGTAATAACAATGAAAATTAACAAAACTATATATAACACCTTGCAACAGAAGGTCTCGTGAATCCCATTTGATTTGAAATGGTGCAAATGTGTGACATGCTCTTCTGTGCTGTATATGCGGTGATAATTGGCAACATAGGATATAGTGTGAAAGAGGGAGGTGGCAGAGTTGAGGGTGGCAGGCACACTCACAGCTCCACTCGTAAATTAGCCCTGTGCTCTATGCCTGTGTGTAAACAGACAGCAATTAACCCATTTGACCTCAAATTGCCTCTAAATAATAATTGTACAAGTTACTTAAAGCGGTTATGGTCATCTGCCCATAGTATGCAATGCTTACTACTTTACTGAATTTGTAAAACTCACACTCGTGTCTCCTCATTAAAAAAAATATTTGTTTGTCCATCGATATTATTTAGCAGCGTTTGTTTGTCTGTAAAATGTGGGTCAGACCGTGTAAATAAAAGGTGTGTCATAAACCCTCCTCCACCCAACACAGCTGATTAATAAAGTAGCCACCTGAATAAACGTGTCAATTTATGAATGCTTCACCAGCACCGGTGTGTTGGAGAGCAATCTCGCAACATTTATGAATCGTAACGTTGATTGCAAAAGCCTACGTGTTAAAACCTATACCGGTTACAAGCTTCCGTGTTTCATCAGCAAAGCCAGGCCTGTGAAACCATCACTGCCATGTTAACAAATGATATTGTGGCAACAGCACTCCATGGTGTGTTTAATGTGTTCATTCTGCACACATTACGTTACGGTTGCTTACGGACGTAAGTTGGGTCCTGTTAAAAGCGATATTGTCTCGAAACCCATCGTTCGGTTCCACGCGCCAAATGGCTATCTCACCAACGCTTTTGTCTCAACAGCGTCGAACACGACTTTAAACAGCAGGAGGACAAGATCCACCGGCAACTGAAGCCGAAGGAAACACCGTGCCCTGGTACCACCCCCCAGGATGAGGTGGTCGACGCTCAGCCACCGCCACCGCCCAGTCCTGAGGTCAAGGCACCGGAGTCCCCACCGAGCCCTGTTCAGCAGAAGGCCCTCAGGCCACTGGGCAAGAGGGAGAAAAAGGGCTGCTTCTGGTTCCTCTGACAGTGCTCTTTTTCTCGCACTGCCGTGGACACTCGTAAAAGCACAGGGAGGGCTCCAATGAACCAGCATTTTTTTTTGACCTACTGTGTTTTGGGACAGACAGAGGAAGGAAAACGGCTTCCACTGAACACCGCCCAAATGTGTGCATATGGTAGTGCTGTACGGAACATTTTATAACGGTACAATGGCAGTTGATCATGAGCGTGGAAAGAAACATTCAGTACGTTGTTCATGGACAAACAAAATACTTATTACAATATGTTAGTCTTCTCTTTCATCACTCGGAATAGGCCATTGATACCTGCTTGTAATAATAGGTGCATTGCAGAATGGTTTAAACAGGATTTATTTTCTTGCCAAAAAAAGTGAGCAAAAACAACGGTAACAAAGTTGGCCAATTAATGGCACGCATACCGTATGAATATTTTCATCGCACAGCACCTTGAAGATGAAGTAGTGCCTATCAAGCATGACTGCTAGACTTTAACAGAGATAATGGTTAATTTTATATGCGTATAACATTGTCACGAACATGTCGCATACGAAAGTGAGACATGACACCTATTTTTTAGCCTGTTTACAAGTGTGCTGCCACGGGTTGCCATGGGTTACCTGCTGAGACCGAACTGGAGAGACAGCTCAGAAAACAAGGAAGGAAGCAAACTTTGAACCCCCCTGACGGATTTACACAGAGGTGCCATTGTTTGGCAGCATGCTTAAATGTTCCCCACATTTGCCCAGTAATGCCACTGAAACGTCACGTCCCTGCCATACGTGCCACTTACCCTCCCCATTGCTCCTCCCACCCACCACCTTACTTCACAATCCCTGGACATGCAACTGATGTAAATGCAAAACCTCTTGTGAATTTGTGTTTATTGCGTGAAGTGTTTGGACTGCAAAAGGATGGTGTGATTATTTTTGCCAAGGAAATATTTTGTCAATGAAATATCATCTCATTATGAATATGATATTACAATACTGTACCATGACAAATCATTGCAACTTAACAAATATACTTTATTGTATCCACAATGTTTTGTCGGCATATTTAATTCTACTTAGTTATTGTCGTATGACAATCATGCTAAAATGAAACGGTATATAATTATTTATTGTTTTTAAAAAATACAAATCACCCATAGTTTAACAAAACTATATTTAAAATTGTTAAAGTATTTATTTATCACTGACTTGCTTTTTAAAACTTGTACTGTTGTTGCGTGAAAAATATATATACTGTAATCAAGAACATAAAATATCACCTCGTTTAAATATTGCCATTAAATGATACATTATTCATTGTAACATGCAGTGAATTATAAATTATAGTACATTTTCCATACAATATTTTGAGTAATTTGTTTTTTCTTCCCAAATGTGTTTTTGTCACTTCAGTGATTTCTCATGCTGATGGGTCATAGACAAACTTCAAGTTGGAGCTTAAGTTAAAATGATTAGTGGTACACTAACTTGGTACATTAGTTATCGGGAGCCCGCTGCTTGGGTTTGTCGTCTGAGAGAAGGTAGGTCCTAAAGGTAGGTAAAGCTGCAGCTCTGACATTGCTTGCTCATGCCGCTGTGCTGGCAGAATGGTCTCCACTAGAGAGAGCTCGAGGGAAGTTGGCCTACTCTTCTACGCTGGCCAGATGTCTTGGAAGAGGTGGGAGTGCCCACTTTATCTTCAGGGCCTTTGGGTATAACACTTCAAATATGTCTGTATGAGGGTTAATCTATTTTTTTAAAATCCCAAAATCAAGCCTATATACAAAATGTCAGATAATCCCTCCCAAAAAATGTGTTCCAAACCTCTCCGCAAAGGGAAGTGACATTACTAACATGACATCACTTCTGCTGTCTTTCCACCAAACTGGTGTCACGTGGTGTCGAGTGATGTGACGTGTGTGAACGTGACAATACATTAATTCCTAATAACATAAATGACATATTCTTAGCTCTTTCGGTGAAGTCACGTTGAAGGGAAACAAAATAATAAAATATATATAAAACATATATTATTTTATTGTTTCCCTTCAACGTGACTTTACCGAAAGAGCTAAGAATATGAATTACTGCAGTCACGAAAGCTTTAAATCAAAATTTAACATTAATGACGTGAAAATCACGAGAAAAAAATAGAAAATATTAATTCCAAAATGTTTTAATCTCAAACTCATCCCTGATTTTCTTGTATATTCGTTAACCGTGAATGTTCCAATTTGAAACACTAGTTTAAAATTTGGATTATGACGTGATATTTGGAGACTTAATGTGAAATGTTATTAACTATGAACCAATTATACTGATTAAGAAAATATATTACTCATGAAAAAACTAAAATCTTTTCAATTGAGCAGTTTGTACTTAATAACATGAAGAAAATGGAACTGGTTAAAAAGATCAATTCTTTTTGGATGGGGAAATATTTATAATATCTTTACGAATCACGCCGACTAAAACTGTTAATGAAGTGTGAACAGTGCAAAGTGAAACATTTCTATTCCAGACGTTCCATGATTACCATAAGCTGTTAGGTTTCTACACACCCCGTCAGGAATGTAATGCTGCAAATTAGCAAGCTAATCTGGGTTTGAAACATGCTCAGGTGTACGTGTGTGACATTACCTGCGTGTAGAACGGTCACAAATTGTGTTAGTGGAATAATAGAGACCTGGTTTTACACGCTGACATGAATTACGTGCTGCCAAGTTATACATGTCAACGCCGCGACCGCACATTTATATGGATTGGCCTAAAATTTGGTTACGTCTAAAATTGGCAACTATTAAATCACATTGAGATGAATTCGTGTTTTTTTTCCCACCTGCTAAAAATAGAGAGGTGAAATAAAACACGAGATTAAAATATGACGGTCCAGTTGTGTTATGGATTGAAGGAAATTATTTGAACGAAAAAAGAGTGGTGATCAATAGGCTAGGGACAATATGGGGAGTCCCATAAAGCATGCCGGATTCTGGAGTCATTGCTGATTTTTGTAAGCGACAGGTCTTCATCAATAAACAATGAGAAAACATAAAGAGCGGTAGCTCACTGTACCCTGCTGTATACATTTCGGCATTTCTCTTTAGATTGAACTTCATGTTGGTTTCAGAAAAAAATGGAGCAGCGCATTTCATTAAGCATGTGAATTATTTCCACCCAACCAAATCAGTTCGTTTTCATGAAAAAAATGGTGCATCTAACCCCTCCGTGTTGCCTTATTGATGGCTGGGGCCATCACACAACTCGGCCCAGCCAGATTGAACATCAGTCCATACGCTGAAGGCTGGAAATTTAATTCAGCGCAATATTTTTTGACTGACATACTCTCAACAAACTCCCAAGGTTATGCCGCAGAAACACAGCTATTATTTCCAATTTTAATTTCAATGAGTTCACACTAAACAAGAGTATTAAGACCATACCTGTACGGTTTTAGCATACCCCAAAGCAACGATTGTGGTAAGAATTACGCATTAAAAAACTAATTAATGTACAAGAAAATACAATAATTTGTGGAAAGTATGCTCAAAGTTTCAGATTTCACCATTTGTGTACGTGAAATACTAGTTCGTATTGAAACTATACAACTATTTTCTGTGATTAATATCTCATGATACTTTCCGTTGGTGACTATTGTTTGCTTATACTGACACATAAATTGACATATGCAACCTTTTGTTAATCGTGAAGATGGTTGTAGCAATGTCGCACATTTTAAAAGGCATGTTTATTTAACTGTAGTATGCTAATTGTTAGCTGGTAAAGATCTGTCCAAAATTATAATTCTAGAATTTACCAAGAATAAAATTAACCAAAAACACAAGGTTTATAACTGCGATAATAATATTTTGCTGTCTTACTGAAAATAAGTCCTGGAAAGGTCTAAAAAAAAATGTTTATAGACAAACATGCACGTTTTTTTTTAAGAATTGGCAGAAAATAATTAAGGTAAATTGTCAACGTATTCTTTGTGTCATGCTTCGTAGTCAAAAGTTATTGCGTGTTCTGACAGTTCCTCTGTAATGCATTGTTATGCAGTAAGCAAAGCATGGCAGTTGTAGTGTGTGTGCAAGAAACTAATGAATTGCAAGCACAGAAGCGTGAAAAGCGATTACTCAGTTGTATGTGTGGTAGTAATGGTGCAGTATTTCTTGCTATTTCTAGAAATGCTGAATGGGATGTAAAACAAAAGCATCAGCCTCAGGCTTGTATGTTTTTTTTAAGTGTGTCCTGCAGCCACATTTTCTTCAGTGTTCCATTGCATGTAACCAGGGCTTAATTTCAGCTGAAGCTGTCTGGAGGGGTGGGGGGTTGAGGGGGGGGGGGGCTCGGAAAAGATTCCATGTGAAATTAAGCCCTGAGAGTAAAAAATGACTGTGTATCGGAAAATGGCACAATTGCCCCAACATGTGAAATTAATATGAATTTTAATTAATTCTGCAAGTGTAAATCAAGTCATTAATATTCTGCGTGCAATTATTTGCGAGTGCAGTATATGCATATCTTACTGTAGCAACAATTATCGTTCTGCTTTGGTATTCATATTTGTTGAATACATTCTTGCAATATTTAAACAAGTGAAATATCATACATTGGCCAGAGTATTATAAAAGCAAATTACTTGTTGAACAAAACCAAATGTGGTAAAGTAACAGGGGCAACGTGCACCCATCATGCGAGAACGAGCGTAGCACAAAAACAATCTATTTATCAAGACTCAGGGTTGTTTGTTCCCATGATTTTGATTGAACCCTACTTCTGCAATAGAGGGAAGTCTGTATATAAGACAATACGTCAAGATATACATCACCGATCTAAATAAAATGCTGTATTGCTACACAAGAATCCATAATAAATGTGCTCCCCACATAATGAGCAGACGATGTCACGGGGTCAAATGGACTCCCTCCCATGGGTAAAGCTACATTTACGAGGACGAACAAAGTGTCTCTCATTCACAATATTAAGCAGAGGTGGCAGGGAAAGGACGGTGCGTAGGAGGTCGTATGAAGGGACAGTTTTGTGGGAGGCAGTGATCTGGTGTATGGGAGGGATGAGGGGGGCGGTGAGTGGAGAAGCAGAAGAAATTGGGATGAGAAGCTCTGATGAGTGGTGGAGAGGAAAGGGAAGGCCTGTGGGTATGAAGACAAGAATGACAGCTAGCCTGAAAGAGCAAGGGATAGTGAAGAGAAGGGGGGCAGGAGGTGTTCGCGTCGCCACTTGATGCAAACGGCGGGGTATTGGATGAGAGATTTGCTCACTTAATATTTGTAGGAGGGGCAGATTGAGCAGGTGAGGGAGTCATGAGTGATTTCTTTTTTCATGAGCTTAGCTATTAATGCCGAATCTACAAATCTTACAGCGCTAACCATCAACAACACTTCACGCGTAAGGAAAAAGCACTCATGCCCATTTCACAACAAACACGTGAAATTTCATTTCCTGCATGTATATGTATTTGAAAATTAGGTATATGTATATGTTGTATATATATCCTAATGAATAATATCTATTGGAGGTGTGGTCATTCTATATACACGTTCAGAAATTAAAATAATTAACCACATAATAAAAAACCTAAAGCGTAGAGAAAGGTAGACAACACATAGCTCTGTTCTTTGCATTGACTCTAATCGTGTTTAAGATCACTATGCCTATGATCAAATTGCGTACAATGCATCCCCATATAGTCATATCTCAGAAGCTAAGCAGTCTTCAGCATGGATAGTTCTTGGATGGAGGGACCACCAGGTCATCATCGGTGGCTGCGCAGCTACATTGCACGCAGTGAAGGGCAGTGCAGGAAAATATATTTCAAACTGTACTTCTATTCTCCATCATCTACACTGCGTAACTTCACCACACATCACTGATACGTTTGTGGAGATATGGCCAAACAATAACCCCCACGAACCACACAGCAGGGGGCGGGGGGGGCCTTATCCAGCAGTGCACATATACACATGTGTACAATATCATCGCAGCGTGTCTCCGTACAGAATTTGTCAATGCACCGTACTAGAAATGTATGATCCCGTTATATTTCCCAAGCTAATACAACATATGCCTAGGTGCAACCGGACACAGACAGCAACCATTGTAAAGTGACATTTAGCCGATTATCATTCGGTTTTATTTTAACATTACAGTTATTATTTTAATAGTCTAATAACATGATTAGATGCAAGGCTACTTAAGGGGATGCGTCGCGTATTTCAGAGGCTATTACTGCACCCTGCAATTTGTCCAATGACATCCTCGGCACCGCTGCTAACACTGCAGAAAAATCCTGCAAATACTCGGTGAGTTATGGCTACCACATGTACCAAACTCGAGCATTTACTC